CAAAACGTGGACCCCAATAATGGTTTATGTCGTCTTGGATATGTTCTTGGTCGCCTTAGAACTGCTCCCAGGCCAGCTGTCCCACGAGTTTAGCAAATAGCAGTCCGTCAAGCACGGTGAAGGACGGTCATTGGCCTTGTCGTAAGGAATAAAGGCCACAGTCCAGGGGTAAGCTTTGACATGAAAATTTTTTAGGCTTGCTAGAGGCATCCCCTGAAGAGCTGAAGAAGGATATGGATCTAAACAACGCCGGAGTGCCGAGAAAAAGATTGGGGAGGGGAAAATCTGCAGAATCTGGGGGAGGAAGGAGGAAAAAGGGTAGCAAAGAGAAGTACCCAGAAACAAAGAAGAAACGAAAAAAGAGAAAGGGTAGCTATGAAAAAGCAAGTAAAAGCAGTGAGCATACAAAGAGTAAAGAAAAGAGTAGCGACATGTCTAATGATGAAAAGAAGTCGGCAGACAAGATTGTTGAGAAGTATGACGAAGAGAAAAAATTGGAACACCTGAAAGTGACGAGAAAAACAGATGATGATAAACCAATGGAGCCTGTGAGTAGGGTAAGAAAATCTGAGAATGAAAAAGCATCTGCTGAGGACGAAGCAGTTAAAAATGATGAAGAAAAGCTGCCTCTCATAATAGGCTCATTAGAGCCACAGGAGAGGAAGCTGGAAGATATTTACGGATTGGATGGACAAGGAATTCCATCAAATGCGACCGAAAAAACGGCCATAGATATGCAATCGAATACGGTCAAAGCCAACCGAACTCAGTCTGATTGGTACGCAGGCCGTAGGGCTTCTTCCTACATACATTTTGGTTCCTGTGACTGGGATTGTCGTAATTGCAGAACTAGCAACACAGATACGGCATTCGACAACAATATCACCAAAAATCAATGTGCTATCGGTTTTTATGGCCTTCACCACGTGGCTACTGATTCTGCAAGGCAGCAGTACGTAACACGTCGCGATCGCCTAGGAAAAATCGATACTACGCGAACCTTCCGTGCCACTGGTCGGCTGTGACGTCTGCGTTGCTAGGTCCGCAATTGCGACATATCCCGTCATGAGAAATAAGTGCACATATTAAATTTGTTTCTTTTCAGATACCTTATGAAGTTCATGAAAGACTTACTGATGCTAATTACTTTTCCCAAAAGA